TGGGGTGTGCTTAGAAGCAGGTGGATCCCGCAGCCTCTGCCATGGGGTGTTTTCTGAAGATGAGTTCCCATGTAGGACAGCCTCAACTGCCGCTTCTGAAGGCAGCAGGTGAGAGAAAAACCGTTTTCGGCGGAGCGAAACGCCGCGCTCTGAAACCCGGCGTGGAATTAACTGACTTTAAACAGTAACTCCTCTGGATGGTGTCTCGGGTTCAGAAATATTTGCTAAAACTTTCACTGGGGACATTGTGCAGGATTTGCTCGTTTGCTGTACTTAACGTGCTCTATCTAATCTGGCAATCTATCTCGCAAGTGTAGTGAGCCCATCACTGTGGTATCTTATAAGAATATGTGTGAAAATCTTGTTTACAACGGACTCTACATTTCCTCCTATCGGGTTTAACTACTACTTTTTCTTTTTTTTTTTTTTTTTTTTTTCCCTAGAGTGTCAAAATCAAATCCAGGATAGCTGCAGATGGAAAGGGCAGGTCTTTGCTGCGTGCTCCCGGGGAGGCAGCTGGGATTCTGGGTCTTTCACGTTAATTAGAACTAAATTACTTAAAAGATGATGACCTGGTGGTCTATTATTAGAAGATGTTGCAGAACGTTAGTGCTGCTGGCCAGGGGTAGATTGGTGAAACCATATCAACATATCCTTGGATGCACTAATTTAAGGCAATTTAAAAAAAAGAAAAAAGAAAAGAAAAAGAGAGTTGACAATTACTCATAATAGAATGTGAGAAGAATGAGATCAGCATCTCTTTCTTTCTGCTATGAGATTATCTCAAGACTCAAGAACCTGCAGTTTCCTGTAAAGACCACACAGAAATTATCATATATACCCTCCCTTCAACTATTAAAACAAAGTTGCTCATGAGCTTTTATTACTGTCTTGTGCCCCCTGTCCCTCCCCACTTTCAGAGGCCTATATCTATATATTTTTATATGGGTTTTTTTTATATTTATATGTAAGACGATGCTTTGCCCTATTTTCAGTTGAGTCGCAACAACTCTAAAAGCTCAGAGGACACAACCGGCTCATTTTTACACCGCGAGCAGCAGACAGCAGAGCAGGTCCCTGCCGTGCATCATGATTTGAGTGTTGTTTGGTAACATGGTATCATGCAGATAACAAATATCTTATCTGAAGACCTTTTAATGACGAGGAGCAGAGGTAGCAGAGGTTATCATCACCCTTAGGGCTCGAGGAGCAAAGGGAAGCCTGGACATCCCCGTGCAGAGCTCCCGGAGGAGGAGCAGCCATGCCATTGTGGTGGGTGCTACAGAGGAGCCACGCAAGTGGGGTTTTTTTTTAAGGGTTAGTGTTTGCAGGAACATTAATCTCTGCATGCAGGCGCTGTGCAGCGTTCAGGCTTTGTGCCAATTCACCCGCTGCAGCTGCCTTTCGCTGTTTTAATTTGGGAGGCTCCAAAAGTGGTCAGACCAACGGGCCGCCTAAGAGAGGGCAGCGAGATGAGCAGAGGGCTGGGGAGGATAAGCACGTCGTGATGCTTCCAGGCTCTCCCCCACCGCTGGGACCATCCTCAGCCACGTGTGGGGCCATGCACCGAGGGGTGGCCGTACCCGCTGCAGCCAGGGGGTCAACCCCCTGCACCCACTTTAATTTCATCACGAAAAAAGGGTACGATTGTACTGTGTCACTGAAACGTGGGCATGACTGAAACCACTGGCAGCTCTTGAGGTAAAGCAAGGGAAAGCCGGGGGTGACCATGGAAAGGTAAGGGGAAGAATCAGTCTCCAAAATCATGTTCTTAAGGTTAAAAACACCAAAGGACATGCTGAAATATGAAAATCTCCGGCTATGGGGAAAGAGAAGGAAATACCTAGAACTGTTGCAACAATGAATGTGCTAATTTTAGAACATCTTTAAGTCATCCTCACTTTCTGGAATTAGATTGTGCAATTTTTTTCTAGCAAATAAATGAGTTTTGTTTTTAATGAAGAAATGTTAAATCTCCCTTATATTTCACTTTGAAAGAGCTATAAAAGTGAAATGTGGAACTCATTCTTCCATGTCAATGATTAGAAGCCCAAAATACATCTGTTCCACATGAACAACTGCAGACTTTGCTTTCACAGAAGAATAGCTATATTTGTAGTTACTTTAAATGTATTCCTGTTGATTTCACTCCTGTGTACTCTAACTTGTAAAGTCAGAAAAATGTCACAATCTTGATTAAAGTCAAGTTCCAAGTAGCCAGATGTTAAGGAAAAATGCTCCGATATTAAGCTGACTCTGCATCTTCATTAACAGCGATTTTGTTGTACAAGTATCAAGGCTCACCACTAAACCGTAGCTGCACAAACAGAGGATCCTCATCAGAGTGTGAGGGTAATTGCAGAGATACACTGCTTGGCTTTATGGCTCATTTACAGCTGTGGAAGAGCTTTTGGGGGGGTTCCCTTTGGCTCGTTGCAGCTATTCCCTGCTGCAGCTATCGCAGCGTCCACTTCAGTTGAAATTAGTTTTCAGTATCAGGATTCCTGGGAAACTTATTTTCCTCCAAAATAGTAAATATCTTTCTCAACTCCTGAAATCTAGGTGGGATTCAAAATCACTAAGTGAATTTCAGTTTTGGGGAATGAGTTATGAAGGTATCTTAACCTGTGTTGTGAATTTATGTTTAAATTCCACTACTGTTCTATTGGAATTCTACACTGAGCTCTTGAGAGCAAGGATAATTTATGTACAAGAATGCCTTAAAATAAGCCTCCGTAATTACAAAAATGCAGTGTTTAAATTTATAGTAAAAACCCACACACTGCTGGCAAAACTATAACTGCATCTGGAAAACATTAAGGATGCTATTAAAATAGTCTAGCATAAACTAGAAATGAGACTGAAATTACAGTGTTGCTTACTTAACCATTTTTAGGAAGTGTATTTTGAATGTGATCTACTTTCCTATTGGGCCTTTTTGATAAAACACCGTATTGTATCTTGCTTACTGCTGAGAATGAATTACATGCTCTGTTATCTGTTTTAGAAAAATCCATAGCTCAGATTTTTTAAGTGTCTTCTTACAGTCGTTGATAATTTAAAACACAACCAGGTGGTTGTTGGTCCAGCCATCGGGGGAAAAGTAACAGGGAGACCTCAAAAGGAGAAGAAAAGTCACAGCAATTAAAAACTTATTTTATTAAAAAGATGAAATGTTTTCAAACAATGAAAAATTATGTTTTTATAAAAACAGAAACAGGCAAAATACCCATTTGTCTTCTATTTACATATACAATATTTCTCATTGTATAAAATTATTTACAATATATAAAAAATTACAGTAAAATAGGTTATTTTCTTACAAGACATCAAGCCCTGTACTTCTAGTGTAGATCATGGCAAACAAGAATATTATTGCACCTGTGAAACAAACAGTCTAACAATAGGAGTGTTCTCTTAGCCATGCCTTCAACTGAGATCTAAAATAACATCGTTAGCTACAGTAACATTCATTTAATCTCTCCTAGGGTCAACTTCAGGCAGTTTCCATACAAACATTGTCTTGTAAAGCTTAGGACTGGGCAGTTAGACTTGGGAAAACACATATTTACAGCTTCTTCTTACAGTCTGTACAGAGTTTACCCTTCACAGAAACTGCATAAATAACCCCAGTTCTCCTGACCGGGACGGCAGGTTCACTGATACAGTCACGTCAAATTCTCTGCAGGAGATGCCTGGCTAAGTCTCCTTGTGTCGAATCCTCCTCGGCTTCCATCGCTAGAGCACCGGTGCCTCCCTACGTAGTACCAGCTACAAGTTTTTAACGCTTCTGCACCTGAGCAGTTAAATTAACGTCCGCTGTTGGCAGGTCAGAGTCTCTCGGGCTACATGTGCCGTTTCATGTGCAAAGCCAGGTGGTCCGACCTGGAGAACGCCCTGTCGCAGAGGTGGCACTGGAAGGGCCGGTGGCCGGTGTGCTTGCGATAGTGACGGGTGAGCTCGTCGGAGCGGGCAAACTTCCAGCCGCAGCCTTCCCAGTTGCAGTGGTAGGGCTTTTCACCTGTTGGAGAAATCAGAGAGAGCGTGACTCAGCGCGGCACTCCCACGTACAGGCAGCATCACATGCCAGGCAACCTTCCGAGTTTATCTCAGCGCAGCCTTTTATTTGCTACCGAGCCCTTCCACAATAAGATCCGAGCGCTTTTAAGCCAAATGAGACTGCTCTAGCAATCCCTTCACTCATCTATAGCTGCAGTGAAAACCTTTTGGGAAAGGGTGTTGGAAGCCCCCAGTAAAAGCTCTGACCTACATATGCATAGGAAAACACTTAAACACTATAGATCTGACCAGCTGTCACAGCTCAACCTTGGATACTCCTGGAGTATAAGGGACTCCAGGGTTAAAGCTCGGGCTGTAAACTTTTATACAGGCAGCTATCGGATGAAGGCAACTGGCTGTATTTACCTGTGTGTGTCCTGAGGTGGGCCTTCAGGTGCGAACTCTTGGTGTAGGTCTTCCCACACCCCGCGTAGGTGCATGTGTGAGTGGCTGTCCTCTTCCGCGGCCAGGACCGACGTCCTCTTTTTGGTTTGGAGTCCAGCAGCTCCAGAGGGGAGGACGGAGGGGTGAGCATGCCTCTGGGAGCGGAGGGTTGTAAGGGCAGGCTGTCCTCGAAAAGACCAAACTGGGAGGTGTTCTGGTACTGGAGGTGGGTCTGCGGGTGGTGGAAGCCGGAGGCTGGGTGGTAGCTTTGCTGGAAGGACACAGACGAGGGGCACATCATCTGCGTGTGGCAGTCATTCACCATGAGATCGTCGGGACTTAGCGGGGGCGTCTCTGCCCCAGGGATCTGGGGGGAGCTGGCCACCCGAGGCTGCTCATAGGCCATCATGCAGGTTGCATTGCCCTCCTGCTTGATCTTGGGGCAAGCCTGGGGCACCAGACCCAGGACCGGTCCATAATTGTCCATGTCGGGCTCGGGCTTAATGTTCTCGACGAACTGCGGGCCCCCGAAGTTGGGTGTCACGAAGAACCGCCCGTGGACATTGCCGGGAGGGCAGTAGTTGGAGTCCATCTCGGTGCGGATCATCTCCGGCACGATGCCGGCGTTGTAGGGCGGGGGGCTGCCCTGCTCCAGGGCACTGTAGCATCCCGGGGACGGGTTTGTCTGGTAAAAGCCACCGCTCTCCCCTTGGGCAGGGGGATAGTCCCCACTGGCTGTGCCCTGGCCGTAGCCGTCACTGCCCATGGAAAGGATAAAATCCAGCACGTTGTTGAGATCTTCATCCTCCTTGCGTGGGGAGAGGCCGCCCCAGGTACCGGCGGGGGTCTTGGCCTCCTGGTCGCACTTCCACCTCTGGGGGAGAAAGAAAAGGGAGAAGGTTAGAGGTGGGCTGTGGGGCTGGCGGGGGTGG